ACTTTTTCAATGTCGACCTTGCGTGACGTCATTTATGACGTCATCAAGGTCATATTAGTTTTTCGTCAATAACTCTTGATCAAATTGAGCTAGCGAGTCGGGAAAGCCACCAATGGACTCAGGAAGACCTGCCGAATCGAATGATATGCGACATGACCTCTTTCGACCAACTTCGTGACCTGGGGGTGCTGACCTGACCTTGACCTGAGGTCAACACCCCAAGTTGACCTGACCCGGACAAAAAGTATATCATTCGACGCGCCTGAGCGAGACGAACACGATGCTGCCAAAATCGGCGCTCTGCGGCCGTTTTTTGCGAAGTTATTCACTAAAAACTGAACCGTACCTTTGGGCACTTGACCTGACCTCAGAGGTCACCGGTTGACCTAGGACCTTAAAATCGGGTACCAATCTCTGCGTCTCGTAACGGCGCACACGCTCGTTTTTTCCGCGACGCGCTAGCTCCACCAGGGGCGAAACGGCGAGGGGGGGGTCGTACCCGCCCCCCCCCCCTCGGCCGGCGCGTATGTAGAAAACCAATAGGTCCGGCGAGGGTTAAACGTATTGCAATACGTTGCAAATAGTGTGGTACATTGCACATGGCAAGTAAATAATGTACAACAATGTATCATTACGTACGCTACAACATGACATGCACACAATATATCATAGGTACAACAAGGTCAATAAATCTCATCTCAACATCAGCCGCATACATCATCAACACCCGGTTGCAGTAAACATTGACATTATAATCATATTGAAAAACATTGCCGCTGTTCTTAGCTCGATTCCAGTCAACCAGTCGTGAGTCGGGCAAGTCAGTTAGGTGCATGTGTACGTGTGCGTGTGCGTGGTAGAGTAAACATGTGAAACAAAGGGTAGAGATAAGTGAGTGAGTGTATAAGTTTGTGAGAGAGTGAGTGAGTGAGAGAGTGAGTGGTGAGTGAGTGAGGGGTGAGTGAATGAGAGAGAAGTGTGTGTGTGTGTGTGTATGACCTATGGTTTACGAGCGAGGGGCCATGAGCTTTTCATCATGTTTAATGTGGGCCTTAGGTCTCTAATTTTGATGGATTCAGTGATTTTTAGTTCAGCAGAATCCCGTCCCCAACCGATTATATCAATAGTAAAGGCGGAGTTGATTTCAGTGCTACTTGCGTTAAAGTGCGAATCAGCAATATGTTCACCTAGTGGGGTGTCTGGTTTTCTCAGGCGAGCGTCACTTAGGTGCTCGTTGAATCGATAACGTACAGGGCGGGTGCTTTCTCCGATATAAAATTCAGTTCGTCCGTTTCTTTCACAGAGGCTACAGGTAATTTTATAGACTATGTTTTTCTTAGTACACTTACCCTTCAGCCCACTCTCACAGGTGTGACAGTGCTTAGTCCCGGCTGGGCAGGGCGGTTTAGAGAAGGCGGTAGAGATCTCTTCCGCCTTCTCTAAACCGCCCTGCCCAGCCGGGACTAAGCACTGTCACACCTGTGAGAGTGGGCTGAAGGGTAAGTGTACTAAGAAAAACATAGTCTATAAAATTACCTGTAGCCTCTGTGAAAGAAACGGACGAACTGAATTTTATATCGGAGAAAGCACCCGCCCTGTACGTTATCGATTCAACGAGCACCTAAGTGACGCTCGCCTGAGAAAACCAGACACCCCACTAGGTGAACATATTGCTGATTCGCACTTTAACGCAAGTAGCACTGAAATCAACTCCGCCTTTACTATTGATATAATCGGTTGGGGACGGGATTCTGCTGAACTAAAAATCACTGAATCCATCAAAATTAGAGACCTAAGGCCCACATTAAACATGATGAAAAGCTCATGGCCCCTCGCTCGTAAACCATAGGTCATAACACACACACACACACACACTTCTCTCTCATTCACTCACCCCTCACTCACTCACCACTCACTCTCTCACTCACTCACTCTCTCACAAACTTATACACTCACTCACTTATCTCTACCCTTTGTTTCACATGTTTACTCTACCACGCACACGCACACGTACACATGCACCTAACTGACTTGCCCGACTCACGACTGGTTGACTAGAATCGAGCTAAGAACAGCGGCAATGTTTTTCAATATGATTATAATGTCAATGTTTACTGCAACCGGGTGTTGATGATGTATGCGGCTGATGTTGAGATGAGATTTATTGACCTTGTTGTACCTATGATATATTGTGTGCATGTCATGTTGTAGCGTACGTAATGATACATTGTTGTACATTATTTACTTGCCATGTGCAATGTACCACACTATTTGCAACGTATTGCAATACGTTTAAAAAAGTGAGCTGCTATGAGGATGCCTGGAACAATATGATTGTGCTCTAGCTTTTGAAAAATCAAAAACATGTTAATTTATTCAAACTTGATGATGGCGTAATGCCGAAAGCTTGTTTTACTGTTTTAGATATTTATTTTGCCTAAAATAAAAACACTTTGACATGCGTGAGATCATTTCAAGCCTCGTTATATTAATATCCCATGTTTTGAACGCTTTAAACCAAGAAAAGACTGCAAACCCGCGGCTAATGCGAGCCGACATACGCTGAATCACGATTCCGGTCAAACATGGTCTCGAAAGAAGGTCACAGGTCAAAGATCATTAAGGTCAGGGTCATCAAATTTTCAGGTTAACTGTAAAAGTAGTTATCGCGAGGGTACTGAAAGTTTCGTTGCGATCGGCCGCTTTTTACGCGAATTACTCGCGAAAAACCAAGGGTTCCGTTCGAAGATTCAGGCCCCGTCGCGCTAGAATGGCATATCGGCCCACTGTGCGCCGTCCCAAATGTCACCGGTGCCATTATGACTTTGTTGCTGTTAGTCATATGCTAATGTCGGGTGATCGGTCGATGTCGTCCCCCGCCCCATTCATCGGGGAATGACTGGCTGAAGTGACGGGGCGGGCCGTGCTCTCTATAGGGCTGACTGTAGCCGAGAACGCGGTGGCCATTGGACACTAATGGATGGCGGCGGCGTACCAAAACCGAACGGGAATGCTCAGCTAGGTGAATATGGAAACCAGGAATAATTTGCAATCGACAAGCGTATGCACTTACTGGGAGCATGTGAAATGAATTTTCGATTCGCAGAAGTCTTGGTGGAAAACATCATGAACAAAAATAAGCCAGCTGCGTTGGAAAATGGAAACGTTTGGTTTGGCAGGCTCTAGTTAACCCTCGGAGGGTCAGCAGGTTTCTCACCCTCCATCGCCCTCCATCGCCAAGTTTTTTTTTTGCGGATAACAGAAAAATGGCGCCGGGTAGTGCCACCGAAGTTGGCATACCTATCCTATGGAGAATCTGTTAAGCACATTTTTTTATTAACAAATTCCCTTCATCTCAGGTCATCAGGCCAAAAGACGGTACGTAGACAAGGAAATAAAAGTTCGCGTTATAGAAAAGGCACTTGCCCGGCTAGGGTTAATACATATTTTCTGGTCTCTCGACACGGCATGGTTTATAAAGACAAAACATCGCTATTGACGAAACACCAGCCATCGAAAACACCATTACATATTTTTGTCAGAATCTCAAAGTGGAGAAATACACATATCAACTAATCTGATCCTGGGTTGTTGGTAGGCATGGCTGTAGCCCATTCCGCCAGAAGAGTACCTAGTTACCGGTGCGACGCTTCCCATCCCACCGGTGCCGCCGGTGGAGCCGGAATTCTGTCCGGGACCGGAGACCAAACGAGACTGTCAGTCCGGCTCCGTGGTCGGACAGGAGGCGACCGGTCAGCGGGCGTGCTCCATTTCGCCGGTTGGACGCTGCTCAAACACACTCCCCCCGTGTGCCTGTCAGGATCAGATGGCCTGTCGCGATGATGGTTGTGTAGGGTGTGGGTTGGGCGGCGGGGGAGGGTTTGGTCAGGGGGAGTTTGGTTTGGGTGTGCTGGGTAGAGGAGGTGGATTCGAGGTGCTGTAAGAACTACCTTCTTGAGAGATACCGCCCCAATCTACTTTTGTATGCATCTTCGTGAAACTCGACTTGAAGATGTTTATGGCAACGTCCAGAACAGTGGTGGCCGTAAGTGTTTATGGCTTATACTCGTGTGTTTTTGTGAACAGTGGCTCTGAACGCGGAATTTGCAATTATTTTGAATTGAAAAAAGGACAATACATCTAAGTTCATAGCAATCTCATCCTGTTTGCCGCATCAAAATCAGCCTTAGACCTCTCTTGATTTTCAAACCAGTTATCCTACTCTGCAGAGCCACCAGTAATACGGTTAAGACGTTTTGTTGCCAAGTTAATCCAGATAAATGGAGCCTTCATCACTTCACCGCGTATCTCAAACTGCGTGAGTCCATCACTGGAACAAAGGGCGATAATCATCGAGAAACAAAGGTCTATTGTCCGCTTAGGCACCTCTCTTGAATAGCTTAGCACTACCGGTGAGGAAGTGAAGATCTGGAGAGGCGGTGCCGTATTACCAAAACTGGTGGTTTGCTTTGCAGCAGTGAGAGCGCTAGCGCACAAATTCATGTCCAATGGAATGTTGTGTGCTGGAGTAGTTGTCCTCATGCAGCGGACAGCATGTTTCTGATCCGTCGCAGTGACGCACACTTCTTTCTTGTTGAGTGTCGATCGTGTTTGCTTATGTGCACAGGTCAAATTTTCTCAACCCCACCCAATCATGTGACTTACTTGATATACCTTCATTTGGTATGGCTGTATATTGCACCTTTTGTGACACAGATTCTGGTACCGTACCAGCATTACTGATTTACGATGTTTTGTTTTTTCTTGCTGCGAGCTTTTCGTGTCACATATGTTGTCATTTTTTTGAATGAAATCCGGCCCTTTCCAGGCCTTCTAGAGGGACGGATGGCTGTTTCACATTCTTGTAGATGGGCTACGTGTCAAACGTACATCTTAACCCGTATGCTTCAGCTAGTTTTAGATCTTTCGCATTATATACGATACACAGAAAGCTAACAAGATGATCAAAGGTCGTTTCGAAGCCACGATAAACACAACTTATCTGTGGTAATTTATGACGACTGAACAGCAATGTCATATTTCATTCAGTGACAAACGCACAAATACAACCATACATTTGCGTGAACACATACCTGCAAAATCGCATTTATACTCGACGTATTTATACACACAAATGCGCTTTCGTGCACCCATTCAGCAAAACTAAAATGAAGGTTTGGAATGACAACCCTCTGGTCTGGTTTGACCAGGCTTACAATGTGTCAAAAGTGGGTTAACCCGCGCCCTGCTGGGGGGGGGGGTGTTTGAACACCCCCCCCTAAGGTTTTTCGCGAATATCTCAAAAACGGCGGCGCGGAGCGCCGCCGTTTTTGGTATACCTTATCATACATCAATTCTACACATGTTGTAAAAATTTCAGACCAAGGTCATTCAAGGTCAGGTCACCAGGTCACTTGAAGTGACCTCACCTCATAAAAAGTTTTAATGTCTGTCATAGCTACACCGAGTGACCGATTGCTTTGAAACTTTCAGCGATTGCTAAGAGCAATAGCATGTACAAAATGTATATCTCAGAATTTTGATATCGATGACCTAAGGTCAGGTCAATTTTGCGACCTCCCCATTATAAGTCAATGGGAGAAAATTCAAATGCGCCTCTTTTGGACGAAAGACATTATAAACACTCCCAAACACTGAATTACAAGTGGTTTAGACACACTGAACATGAAAATGGTGTCCGTGACCCCTGTTTATGCCCTGAGGTCATCTTAGGTCACGAATAGTATCTAACAGTTTTTCGCAAATAACTTTTGATAGAGGCATGCTAGAGCGATGAAAACGCCTTAGATGTGTTCAGCTCGACGATACGGATCGACTGATATGCAACATGACCCTTTCCGGTCAGGTCATGACCTTGACCTGAGGTCAAATTTTCAAGTTGACCTTTCAAGGTCAAGTTATAGTTCATTCGATGCGTCTTGACGAGAGGAACACGATGCCGGTAAAAGTAAGCTCGTACAAGGCTTGAGTCAAAAGTTATTGCAGAAAAACTGTTTCCGAAAAAATCGGCTATTTTTGCAGTTTTTGCCCCCTGCAGGCAAAACCGTTGACGTTAGGTCAAATCTGAGAAAATTACTCAGAAAGGGCGTTAATAGGGCTATCGAATGCGCTTTTCGGCGCCGCTGTAGCTCTATTGGTTCCCGAGTTATACGTTGGCTTCTTGGAAATTGTCGACATTCGACCTTGAAATCGGCGAAATTTTGCCTTCAATGACCTCTGGTGACCTGACCTTTGACCTGACCAAAAAATTGACCGAAGTGATTTCCTCATTATTTTTGACGCGCTTTCGAACGCCGCCTTCCGCGTGTCGCTACGTGGCCCAGGAGCCGAGTTAGAAGGGGGGGTGTTCAAACACCCCCCCCCCAGCAGGGCGTGGAAATCCAGGACCCCCAGCCGGGCGCGGGTTAACATAATTAGGAGCCATGGCGTTGGAACATACTCAAGTGTTAAAAATGGCATCTAAAATGCTTTTGTAACAGCCTTCTCCGGCTCGTCAACAAAATTATGCGCAGTTAACACATGTGTTAAGCAATAGTTCTGCTGAAAATCAAAGCTTTAACACACTGTACGTAACAAACTTAAGCACATTCACAGTGTACAGCTATTGACGGCACTCACATCTGCGTAAATAACAGTAACGTATATTTTAGGTAAACACAGCACTTAGTTATTTTTCACAATGCCTTTTTTCTACTTATCAAGCGTGAGGTCGAGTTATTCACAATGATTATTTTACTGCACTTAATCTACACAAATTTGTGATCCTGATTATTTGTTCCATATTGCACATTCCTTGGGCACAAGTGCCACCTTTGCACTGCAGTTCATCAGTTGGACATTCATTGAACGCTGAAAACATTGACCGATTCCCATCGAGTGTTCCTCCCGACAGCAAACATGTATGTACAGGTACACATATCGGGCCCACAGAGAAGCGCTATAGCGCCTCCTCTCCGTCGATATCACCTCCCATGAACTCCTGGGCCTTTGCGCCCTCCCAACTCTTACTCCACGCGTCCTCCTCGCCACCATTCTCACTCCTCACTCCTCCACCCTCCACGGCGCCCTCCTCTTGCGGAAGGCTTTCACAGGGTCCGCAGGAGCACTCCTTTATCCACATGACCTTCTGCGTCACAGTTGCCATGTGTGTTCCTGCCTCAGGGGGGCGCCTGGAGCCATCGCCGAGACGCCACAGGTGGTCGCCGCCAGATGGCAGCCGGTCAAGGTCGCACAGGAACGCCAGTGACCTTGTGAAGGTCGCCACGGGGCGGCAGCACTGATGCTGGCAGGTGGTGCAGAAATTCGGCCGGTGGCGGTGCACTGACGTGCAATTCTGCCACTGGAGGTGCACCGCTTCGGGGGAGCGTTGTGTGGGGTGACACACCTGCAAAAAATCGTTACGAATTGACAGTCATACAATCTTTTGGCATGTGTAGATGCATTTTGATAGATACGAGAAATTAGCTGTTTTGAAATATTAACATTGAGAGACGCATTTAGAGAGGAGACGCATTTTGCATCCTTGAATGCTCAGTCTTATCCAATTCTGCCCGTGCATAGTGCACTCTCAAATGTATTTGATAACTAGCCTAGGTACCGTTGCTGAATCTTTAAATCTGAGAGCTCCCTGATACGATCCGTCACCGATTCAATCATACAAACACAAAGTTTACCTTCTGATCCTCTCTGATCATTTTGAACAGTGCCTCCTTCCAGGAGATGTCTCCGTGTCGTGGACACTCTCTGATCTGACAGAGACGTGACTCCTTCCGCAGGGTACAGTCCCGGTTCTGGTTGGTGATGCGGGTCGACACACCCGCCCCGCAAGTGGCAGAACATGGCGACCAGTCTGACGTCAGCGGCTCACATGGTGCGGGACTGGTTGGAGCGTCTGCGAATGAAGACAGTAGTAATGTTGTGGTGAAAGGGAAGGTTGAAGTTAACATTCTTACCGGAGTAAAATGTAAAAAGTGGTTAAAACATTTGAAGCGTCACTGGGCCCACCCCTTAGTGACATCTTAATGCAGACAGAGCACATCTGACAATAGTGCAGCGGCTTAGCAGTTAGCAGCACTGTTCGGCCGCCACCTCTGGGCAAGTGCCGGTGATGCCGGGCCTCATCAGCAGACTCGGACCCGCCATGTTCGGGTTAGTTGCTGTGCTGTTGCTGCCGAGCGTGGATATCTAATTACCAACTTCGGCGCAGAAGACCTCAGCCCAACTCAGACATTGGCCGTTTAACGCTGAGCAGTAGCCGAGGTCTCGGAAACCTCGCTTGTGTTCGCTGATGTGAGGAAACTTTGGTACATGATTTGAAATACAGTGAGTGGTTCGGTTATCACGATACAGTTGAACACACTTGCTTCAGTGGATTCTGCAATCTGCATGGCGTCAGTGGCAAGGAGCATAGATTAGAACAATTGTCACAAGCCAGTAACGCCCTTTATGTTACAGTCCTAGATTTTATAGCATACCATGCAAATCGCATGATTGTTTTACTTGCAATTGGACTTACAACGCTTACAATAAGTATGTACTTTTACAATGTTTGCAACTTGCAACTTACATTTCGTTGTGGATAAAAAAAGACCAACGCAGGGCAGTGATTATGGTTGGGGTGCAAAGATATTATTCTTCATGCACCTTCAGCAGAAATGAAAAATTCCATGATGACTTCCAACGCAAGGAGACGACAGAGTCATTCAAATACCTACAGATTTTCCCAAGATCTTACATGACATCTTACAGGACATATTTGCCACCCATACCATCAGCTCTATACAAAGCCCCACGTCGTATCGTCTTACCTCCAGCGCAGGTCCACTGTCGACAGCACTGGCCCCTGACCTCAGCCAGTCTCGGGGCTTTGCACCGCTGCGAGGGACGGATCATCTCTTGGGGACACAGTGAGGTGCACGCGTAGCTGCCGTCCTGTCGTAACAGACGGGAGTGACGTCATTGGAGGCAGGTTATGACGTCATCGGAGGGGATTGGAAGTATATTGAAGCCGCTTTAATGGGAAAAAGTCAAATGTATACGGTTTTCGCGCTAAGGTATACCAACATTTGCCGTCAGTTTTACCTCTCCCCCCCCCAAAAAAAAAAAACACTCCAAAACTACAGACAGGAATAACAATATTCTGTCAGCCAACCTGCTATAAGTAACGTTGTTTCGTCTGTAATGGCTTGGCTTCCCTTGCTTTGCGTCCAGCAGTGCATTACTTGATGAGTCACTTTGATGTTTGTGTAGGTTTGCAGCCTGCAGCATTTTAGTGGTGTTTACCAGCGAAGAATACCAGCGAGGAGCGGAGTTTTGGCCCCTTTTATGAACTCACCTATTCGTCACCCATGGAAAGTTTGATCAACGTCGTCAAAATTTGATGTCCTTTGTAGATTGTGGTACGCTATATCGATTTAGCGAGACCCATGTTAGGGCAAAGCTACCTTTTATTCCGTATCAGTATAGTATGAGACAGGTGTCAGTAAGCCTTAGGTCAGATGTGTGAACGATCTTTTGAGACATGTCAGGATGAAGAAGACAGCATTAGTAGACAGACAGTAGAAGACAGACATCAGTAAGCAGTACAGTACTCTGCTAATATTGGAAGCATTTATTATATAGTACCAGCGCTTCTCTTCTTGTGCGATGGTCTGGTCTCTTGTTATCAATAGCTTTATCATGCTTCTCGATGATAGGTTTGCACTTTGCAGCATTTAAACAAATGCATTTAAACAAATGCATTATCGTATTTTGCTTACTTCATTTTGTGCATTACCGTGCACTATGTTGGTCTAACATGCACGAAGGCAGGTAATCTTAATTCTAATAATGTCTGCCATTTCATAAACTGTAATTATCCATACGAGTAAATTAAGTTACATAGCCCGTCCAGCGCTGGTATAATTACACCCAACAGCGAACCCCCACCCCATGCCAGCTGTGTGACTGTTGCACGCGCGCGGCAGCATAAGCACCGGTTGCGTGTTGGGAGATGGCATTTACCTAAGGCCGGCGTGACACGTCTCGCTAATGTAATTCCGCCGTATTTCCCAGTGGAAGAGCCCCGCCGGCCTGCTGATGTCACGAAGGTCTTTCCTACTGATGCAGGTAATGTGTTATTAGGCCGATCGCCGGTAGTTGACCGTCTGCCCCACTGTCAATGGAGCAGTGTTTTCCCTAGGGTACGCGGCGGATGTTGTCATTTGTTCCCCAACTGGTCATTTATTTCCCGCTGAAAGCTGTTACTGACGGCTGACGAGCAAATAAGCAAAACACGCATGGTTCCACTTGAAAAAAGCGGACAAATGTGTTTTGTAATGTGTAATAACTTTCAATGTTTGCGGAGCGGTGGTGTTTAAACTTCAGGCGTTTTATGGTAAACTGACATCATTTTCTAGGCGTTGATCAGCGGTCATGATAGGAAAATCATCTCGCTCTGCCTGCAGGACAAGTGTCGGTGAAACATGTCCCCACCTATCCGAATGATCTCCCTCGCCTAGCTGCCAGAAATAGTTATATCCTAATCTACCTCACATATATCTCCCTCGCCTACCTGACAGGAATTTGTCCCCGCTTACCTCACGGATATGTTATCCCTCTCGCCTACCTGACCGATATATCTCTCTCGTATACCTGAGAGGCATATCCATCCCGCTGCCTACCTGACAGGTATACCTATCTCTCCCCCGCCTACCTGGCAGGTATGTCTCTCAGGTACCTACCTGACAGGTATACCTATCTTTCCCCCGCCTACCTGGCAGGTAGGTATGTCTCTCAGGTACCTACCTGACAGGTGCAGCGGGTACGACAGTCAGTGAAGAAGGTCTGGCCATCGCGATACGTACCTGACAGGTATGTCTCTCAGGTACCTACCTGACAGGTGCAGCGGGTACGACAGTCTGTGAAGAAGGTCTGGCCATCGCGATACGTACCTGACAGGTATGTCTCTCAGGTACCTACCTGACAGGTGCAGCGGGTACGACAGTCTGTGAAGAAGGTCTGGCCATCGCGATACGTACCTGGCAGGTATGTCTCTCAGGTACCTACCTGACAGGTGCAGCGGGTACGACAGTCTGTAAAGAAGGTCTGGCCATCGCGATACGTACCTGACAGGTATGTCTCTCAGGTACTTACCTGACAGGTGCAGCGGGTACGACAGTCTGTGAAGAAGGTCTGGCCATCGCGATACGTACCTGACACTGCAGGGTTGTATACGACTCAATCAATAGCAATCAATTCAATCACGACAAATTTGGGAAACCAATCAAATCAATCAAGTCAGAGCAGTTTTCGGGAATTGATTCAATCGACTCAAACGCGACAATGAAAGGAATCAATCAACTCAATCAAACGACTCAAACCAAGGCATACATTAGGTTTTGCCCCACCAACTTGGAAAAGTGTCCATAGCAGTCTGGTGTACCCACCTACCTACCTACCTACCTACCTACAGAAGAAACATAAAAATACGATAGGCGTTATCACAAGTGTATTCGCGGCCATTGGGGCGACGTAAGAAAAGAAGAAAACAACTGGCCCCAAGAACTTTAAATCATCAGTTAGCATGCACCTTTTCCTTGATGTATAGAGAATATACCATTAATTGTTAAAGAAAATTGCATTTAAAATCTTCCATTTATGCTTTTTTCATCGTTTGCACAATATGTTCTTTTACTAAGCTAGAAACACTAATTAGAAATAGTTCTCGCATCATCGTCAAGAACAATAGGGAAGGCTTGAAGTGAATACAATAATCTAAACGGTTTTGTGATCTATGTGGAGACACTTCTTAAATTGCCTGTAGAAATATTGAAGGCAAAAGTTCAACTTTTTCACAAGACGGATGTCTATAAACCGATTTAACGTGTGACAACTCGGCCGGTATTTCGTCGCCTACAGCCCAGCTTTCCCTAGTGACCGATAGAGGCGCTGCTATCGATGTCCGCCCGTGCCGCCTAACGATTGTCATTTAAAATTATAAATTGCCATGCCATTCAAAGTTTCTATGTAATAAGGAAGGATACCTAGTGATGGACAGGTGGATCATGATATTGAGGTTCAATGGGTAGAATTGGAGCAGAAGTTTCATTTTATGGGTGCAAAATAACCCAGTAGTTGACTTCAACAAACGCCCCTTAACCCAAATCACCACCTTTCACCTAAAAGTTGTCAATTTAATTTTGGCCATATTCCAGCTAAGTCATCAGGCCATCTACCCCGTGTAAAGCCCCTGTCTGTCTCTTATGTGAGTTATGCGGAGCTCTTCTGAATTGAACCCTGAACATAATGAACCTAGCTAGGTTTCATGCCACACTGACACCATATGAATAATGAAAGTGTTGAAAATGTGCTACAAATTTGACAACTTCATTAGGTATGCTTTATGAAGACAGCAGGAAAGCAGGTAGGTACCTAATTACCTGCCTAGATGTGTCACTGGCTACCAACAGTACCAACGAAGGTAGATAGGTTATATGTGAAGAATTCAAAACATTTTATTGCAATACAATTTGAAACTGTTAGGACTGGGGGATAGGGATGAGCATTGAAAACATATTTAAAAGGAAATGGAGAGGACAGGGACTCGGAACCACAGGATAAGTTAAGGACAAAGGAAGTATGGAGAATGAAAATTAAAACGCGAAAACGGCACGGTGCGACTGCGAAAAACAAAGAAAACGTTTTGCCAATAAGTATGCTATAGCTTTTATAAATCCTTATTCTACGTCTTTTGATTTTTTGGTAAGATGACGTCATTGATTATCATGCAGTATGGTAGATCATCATAAAATAAATCGGTTTTACAACACCAATTTCGTTTTAATTATTATTTCATTTGAAATAAAACCACTTAATAATATTCGGTAAAATATTTTAAGGAAAACAGAAATATATTAAATATGTTATGCTTAGGCTCTCAGGAGAAAAGGATCAACAAACGTTCTGCTGCAAATTAAGCAATGCAGCAAATTAGCTATTGTATTGTATTGTATTGTATTGTATTACCTTCATGGACAATCCACGCGGGGCGTGGCGATTACAGTCCAGAGTCTGAGTCGGGCACAAACAAAAACATGCGGGGACAAGAAACACAGGCATACAGATTCAATCGCTGGACATTCGCTCTCTCTATATACAAACGGACGATTCAAGACAGCACACCGTACACGGATGTCGCACCTCCTTCCCCTGACACGGGTCATCGTCGGGCGGACGCCATCGCCGGACAGACTGCAGCCTTGGCCGCACGGGCGAATGGGGCGGGGCGCTGTTCGATGACACCGGGAGGCAGACTGTTTAGTAGCGCCGCGGCCCGGTAGCCGAATCGTCGCTTGCCAGTCTCGAGCCGCGAGCGTGGAAGGTGGAAAAGGTGGTCCTGTCGAGTGGACCTCTCTCGCGCGTCACTGTTATTCATGAAGATGGCAGCTAGTGCTTCGGGCTCGCCGTTGCTTATTATTTTCTGCGCAGTTACCATGGTTTTAACATCGGCCATAGCTTTTGGAGGCATCCATCCGAGTGAATCGCGGAGGCCAGAGACGTGATCGAATTTCCGGCGGCCGAATATGACCCGTGCTGCAAAGTTTAGAATTTTTTGAAGTCGGTCGAAGTTTTTCTGGGAGCCATTTCCATATACAGTGAGGCAGTACTGGACGCGCGAGATGACGAGTGCAGTCACGATCGTTTTGAGGATACCGTCTGGGAGGCAGTGTCGTGCGTGGGAGAGGCCGATCAGTACGCCCATGCAGCGGCGGCTCAGCTCGGCCACGTGTGCTTCCCAGGTGAGTGCGCCGTCGAATACAACTCCCAGGTTTCCCACCTGCGCGCACGGCAGGAGCTCAGCGTCACGGAAAGAGATTTTGAAGCGAGGCAGGTTACGTAGGTTTTGTCGGCTACCGAATACCATCAGTTGAGTTTTAGAAGCGTTGACTTTC